ATTACAAGCGTGAGCCACCGCGCCCGGCCTCCGGCTAATTTTTTCTATATACTTTTAGTTGTCCAGCTAATTTCTTTCTATTTTTCTAGTAGAGATGGGGTCTCGCTCTTGCTCAGGCTGGTTTCGAACTCCTGACCTTGAGCAATCCGCCCGCCTCGGCCTCCCAGAGTGCTAGGATTACAGGTGTGAGCCACCGCGCCCGGCCTGAAAATGCATTTTCAACTTACAATATTGTCAGCCTAACAATGGGTCTATCAGGACGTAACCCCCATCATAAGTTGAGGAGTACGTGTATGTGAATATATTATTATATATGTATTATGCTAATTATATGATTAGTTTTAGACATACAAGGGCTGACTAGAAAGCATCCAGGCATGTAGTATGTTCTTGTTATTAACAATGGCTGGGTGATTTCCGGACACGCTCGTGTATGAGGCTATGTATAAGAGTATGCGTTCCTGTCTGTATGTAAACTACCTAGGATGGTGGTAGAGTAGTCAGTGCAGACAAGGTTATGAAGCCAAAGGATAAATTTGGTGGCTGAGGCACTCATCCAGAAAAAAAATTCATTATAGTTTAAGTAAGAACCGCCTGCTAAGGCAGGGTCCCCAGCACAAGAAAGGTGGCTGGGGAAGCCCGAGACAGAGGGGAAGGAGCAGAGCTTCCCTGGGCGAGGCCTGGCAGCGCGGTCAGTGCCAGCGCCAGGGCGGGCGCCACAGTGGGGCAGCCCCGCGCCCAGCTCACCACGAAGCCCTCGGGAAAGACTCCAGCCCCGGGCAGCGATCTACTGGACTGGCTTTGCCAACCTCAGGGCTCCTTCCCCTCAAGCGCTCCAAGTGCGGCACTGTGTGGTCACACACCCTCCGCCTGTCTGCCCTGCTTTTGATTTTCTGATCCAAGGAGTGGGAGGAAGAAGTAACTACACAGTCAATTAGAGACATTTTTTTCAAACTGCAGGTATTGACCCAATTATAGTGGTTCTGAAATTAAATTCGGTGGGTCACCATCAGCCTTTTCTAAAAAAATAAAATAGAAATATCAGCATAAATTGTACAAAGTAAGGGTAGGTATTATTTGGTGGAGCTTCATTTCAGCGTCTACAATGGAAACTGTATTTCCTTTTTAAAAATACTGAAATATACTGATGTAGAGAATCCCAAACCACGACCTAATACTCAGTTCTGCCTGGAGCAGGTAATGAATCGCTACGTAAGTGACATAAAGAATCTTAATCAGCATTTTGAAATTTGATGCGTCACCAATACTCTAGGACATCTCCGGGAGCTGGTCTCCATGGAAGGGTGGCCTAGGAAGGCCACTGGTCTCTGGGCATCTGTGATGACCACTCTCAGGATGCGATGTCAAGTCTTAGTGACAGCACTTGTTCTCCCTGGGCTCACAGGCAGCACAGATCTTCCTGGCAACACCCGGTATACCTTGTACATTTGACTCTCCTTAAAGGGAAATCAGCTCTTCTCCTTGTGATCATTTCCCAAATTAGAGGTGATTCAAGGATGCCCTTGTCAGTTCTTCAGAGAGAACTGCTGGGAACCCCCAAAGAATACAGATAATATGGTCTAAAATAGCCACTGGATGCCTGGAGGCCAAGTGGCCCAAGTGCTGAGGCTCCACTGCATCTGCTGGCGCCGGGCCGAGGGGGGCAGGCCAGCGCACCGGCTCCTGCCCCCTCCCCAGCCACACTCCGCCTACAGCTGCCTGCCGGGACTGGGCTGTCGTTGCTGCCCGTGCATGGCTCGTACCAACGCGTCTCTACGGGATGCCTGCTGCACCTCCAGCAGAACTTCTGTTTCCTCAAAACTATCTTTGCTCCTGACTTTTCTTTTTAGTTTTTGAATAATCTCTTCTCCCAAATAGCTCCTCTTCCCGCATTCCTTACCTTCACCCCAGTGCTGAGTCTGAGCCATTCCAACTCCGGGTCTCTTGCATTCATAATCCCCTCCACTCCCCATGGCCACTCCCAAAGGTCAGAACTCCATGGAATTCCCTGGGAGGTGGCAGTAGCTATCCCCTCCCTGGTAGTATCTGCTGTACTCACTGCCTCGCCAGCCTGCACGGTGTCCAGCCTATGGACCTCACTCAAGAACCTGCGGTGGCTCCCCTCTGCCTCCCAAATCAAATGTGGCCTTTGGCTGGCGTTCAGAGTCCTGAACTGGTCTGGGGCTGCCTTTCTGGCTCAATCTCCCACCTTCTCGCTGGCAGGAATCTACTGTACCTTCAAACTGTGCTCCTGCCCTAAGAACACATCCACGCTCGCCTCTCTCTTCCCCTTTGTAAATGGTGTTTTTTCTGCTTTTAGACCCTACCTTCCCTCCCAAGTCCACTCCGGCCTCCACAAAGTCCCTCCCAACTCTGCTTTACACCCCGGGGGGCTCTGTCCCCTTCAGACACATGCAGCCCTTCTCATGGTCAGTGTGGCCACTGTGCCAGGTAGCCCCGGAAGGCAGCAGCTTTGTCTCATGCACGTTTGTCCCCACTCTGCCCTGGCTCTGCACCGGCACACAGGCGATGCTGGGAACACGCTGGCTGGCTGAGACCTTGTCCTGCCTAACCGCTGGCGCCCTGGGCTGCGGTGGGGTAAAGGGGAAGGGATGGATGGGCGGGTGGGCGTGTGCTCAGGTCACCTCACGGGCTGGCTGGGGTGGTGGGCCTTGCTGTGCTGGCTCAGCATCACCTGGGACTGGTCCTGCAAGGCCTCCACGTGCTCCGGATCCTTCAGGCCCCGCGTTTCTGGGGAGAAGCAGCGCTAGTGAGCTCCTCTCCCCGGGGCTCCCCAGCCTGTCCCTTCCAGGCAGCCAGGAGGGGCCCTAGGACACCTGTCTCCTCTGTCCCTGGGGGAGAGGCCTGCACACACCTGCAGCGTGCGGGTGCTGGGGGCAGAGCGAGGGGCAGAAGGAGTCACCGGAATTCCCAGTCTTCATCCCAACCGCTTGTGTGCAGGGCTTGGGAGAGACCCAGCTACCTGGCTTGAAGAGGACCAGGGCCTTCATGCAGGCGAACTCCGTGGGGTCCACCGCCAGCGCCCGGAACCGAGAGATGGTTTCCCGCAGGACGCGCGTCTCCATGCTGGCCAGCGGGAGCCGGCCCTGCGCGCCGCCGGCAGCGGAGGCCTCGGGCGGGGGCAGCAGGGGACAGCCGTCCAGAGGCAGGGACCACTGTATGGCCGCCAGGAGGAAGAGCTCACTCCACGCCTCTTCCAGCAGAATCACCTGCGCTCAGAGAGGGTGTGAGTGTTATGGCGGATACACGGCTTCTCTGGCTCGGCCTGGAGCCTCCGCCTCCTTCTCTGACACCCCAGGAACCGAAGGGCTGGTCCCGGGTGCCCAGGACGCCCTCCTGACCTCTGACATCAGCCAGGGACCCAGAGCTCTGGGATTTGGTGCCACCTGGCTCAGCCGCCTACCCTCTGAGACATGCCGTGGGTTCCATCCAGAGCTGCAGCTGCAACATTTGGGAAAGTCTAGAGCCACGGGAAGGGGGGCAGCCTCAGGGACACACCCCAGGAGTGTTGCAATTTGTGTGCACTCAAGAGACTCGGCCTGACTCTTACGAGCTGCTCCGTCTACACTCACAGGCTGGCTAAGGGGATGAGACCCTAGGTGCGACTCTCTTCCTGGCCTGCTGTGAGAGGTCTGCTTGCCCGTTAGAAGCCCAGAGGGGCGTCCTGGAGGTGGAGGGGTCGGGCTGAAACTCAAGCGCTGAAGTCAGAGGCACTGTGCTCCAAGGGGCCCAGAGTCGGGCACTCATGCTGTTCAGGGCGTGCAGACCCCTGTCACCAACACATGTCTACGGAGCCTGAGGATCTTCTAGGGGGAAAGAAGACCCGGGGAGCCGCAGGCACTGGCTTCAAACCCCTGGTCCCTGTGGGTCCCTGGCCATTGTTGTCCCCTAGGCGTGCAAGCCTACCATCGTCTCTGCCCTGGAGAGGTGTGCACCCCATGGTCACCAACCCCGACTCAGAGACACGTGTGCTCCCACCCACTGCCAGGCAAGCTGTGCACTCCATTCACACGGCACAGGGTGTACGTGCCCAATCTGGCGGACACGCATGGGCCACCTGCCCCCGGCCTGACCCAGCTGCCCAGCGCGCAGGCCACGGGCACCTGATCCCGGAAGGGCAGGCTGGAGAACACGGGCAGGTTCTTGGCCCACTTGACAGCCGTGAACAGCAGGCGAGCCGAGGTCTCGTGGATGCTGTCCAGGCCGCAGGGGGAGGAAGAGGAGTATGGAGATGAGGGGAACTCGGGGTCGTTGCTGGTGACGTCGATATTTTCATCAGCTGTTGGGGGAAGAGGGTGTGACCTCAGCGCCTGCTCCACGGGGGCTGTAAGGGGGGCTGGCTGTGAGGGTCAAGGCTGGGTACATGGGTCAAGGCTAGGCGTGTGGCCCTGCTGTGACCCAGGAACCGAGGCTGCTGGCCTGGCCCTTGGCCACCTCCCACTTACCGTCCTCTGGCTCCAGCTTAGCACAGGTTTCAGCTGTTATAAGGCTGGCCATGAAGTGGTGGCCTAGGGCCCTGGCGGCAGACACGGGCGTGGGGCCCCGTGGACTGGGCCCTGCTGGGGCCGGGGGAGCCACCAGGGGCTGGGGCCGGGGCTCAGTGTCCGACTCCATGCTGTCCAGATGGACCTGGGCTGTGCTCCGGGGCTGGCGCTCGTTCTGCACAGCTGGGAGGTAAGGAAGGGTCAGGACACCCCACTGGTCGTGCCCATCTCTTCCGTCGCATGCCCGCCAGGTCAGCCCCGGACTCACCGTCCTGGTTCATGCCCGCCTGCAGGCACTTCTTCAGCCGGCAGGCCTGGCACTGATTGCGATGGGCCTTGTCCACAGGGCACATCCCCGCCCCCACCTGGCACCTGCGGGTGCAGGCGAGTCCCGGGGTCAGTGCCCTGCCTGGGTCCCGGACCGCAGGCTGGACATTTCTGCCCCGGCCCTTCCCGACACCTCAGCACCCGACCTGTAGATGAGCCTCCGCCGCACGCTGCGCTTGAAGAAGCCGCTGCAGCCGTTGCAGGCGTAGATGCCGTAGTGCTTCCCGCTGCTGCTGTCGCCGCACACGCGGCACTGGAGCGCCGGGCCCGCGCCTGGGGGCAGGGCACGCTGGGCAGGCCGCGCTCCCGCCCCTGGCCCTTGCCCGCCGCCCTTCAGCGCGCGTCTTTTCCGTCTGGAAAGTGTCCCCACCCCCACCCCACCCCCACCCCCACCCCACCCCCCGCCCGCGCCGGCGTCTGGCGGTCCCGCTCCGCGGCCCGCGCCTGGCCGGCTCCCTTCCCTCCAGCGACCGCACTGGCAACACCGCTAGGGACGCTTTGCCTCCGAGCCCTCAGGTGCCCCTCTGTCCCCCCTCCCGTGCTCAGCTGTCCGGTCCTGGCTCCCGCTCCCCCGCCACACCCGCCGAACAGCCCCGGAGCGGGAGCTGAGTCGCGCTGGCTCCCTGCATGGTCCCCGCAAACCTCTGGCCCACACTTCGCTCCCCAAGGGCCCAGACCCTACCTCCCGGAAAAGCCATACCTGCTGCGTCCTCCCCCAGGCCCCACCTGCCTGGAGACTCCTTCCTGGAGGCAGCCCCCGCTGCAGGCGCAGCTGCAGCCACGCTGGAGCTCATCGGTGCTGTCGGCCTGGTCCTGGGCGGTCCCAGGGTGGCCTCTGCCTGCCTGCTGGGGACCCCGCGGGGCGCTGAGCTGGGCCCAGTCTCTGCCTCAATCTCTGCACCTCTGTCTCTCTGTGTCCCTGTCTCTCTTCTGTTTCTACTTCTCCCTCTCCCTGGCAGTCTCCCTCTGTCTATGTATCTTTCTGTGTCTCTGTCTCTCGCTGTCTTTGCTTCCTGTCCCCTCTGTCTGAACTCAGGAGCGGCCCCAAGTCCCCAAAGCCCCTCACCGCGCAGCTCTGGCCTGAGGAGGTTTCTCCCGGGGCAGCTGCCGGGCGCAGTTCATGATCCCCTTAATCTTTACTGTCTCCACAGGGGATCAGCCGGCCACACCTGCAGCATTACCAAGGTGCCCCTCACCGGCTGCCCGGTGTCCCTGGGGCCCTGCTGCCCTGTGCCCCATTCAGTGCCAACTCCTGAAGGGAGGTGTGGACTCCACTTGCTCCAAGGATTTTAATCTTTTTGAGCTATTGGCATGTGTCTGACGGCAAGTGTGTGGGGCCTGTGTGTGTCGCTGTGCCGGTGTGGGTCCCTGCGTGTGATGCTCTCTTTGGGTCCCTGGGAGACCCAGATCTCCACCCTGGATGTTCTCACACCAATCCCTTGATAAGGGACTGCTGGGGGCCAAGGTTTTAGGGTCCTGGCCCCTGGAAGGCTGCCCTGCCTTCCTCAGTCCCCAGATGCCCAGCACAGAGGTGGCTTCTGGGACAGGTCCAAGGTAGGGTCTCAGGCTGGCCTGGAGCTTGCAGGTGTTTTTCTCACCTACCTGGAGAGCTGGGCCTGCAGGGCCTGTCTGCACTTTGGTTTCTTTGTCTGTAAAAAGAGATGACAGCAGTACCTGTCCTTTAGTGTAGTCAGGGAAACTCCAGTAATTCTCGAACCCTGATTTGGGGCCTGGTAGTAGTAAGACGTAACAAATGATGTGTGTGCTTGCTCTAGTGCCACTCCTCAGGGTCACTGGGAAGATCGCAGGGTGACCCTCGGTGACTAGCCTCTCCTTTGCCTGCCTTTCTCCCCTCTCCACTTGCCAGCCCCATGCCCGGACGGAGGCGAAAGGCTGGGTGGCCTGGAAGGGACCACCCATCCTCTGCAGACCTGAGCGCGCTGTGGGTGCGCTGGGCGGGTGGGCCCAGCCTTGGAGCCCAGGGGCATGGGGACACGATATGAAGCTTCTGCAAGGATCATGGAGTTACAAGGACAGAAGGGGGGCATGGCCCTTACGTAAGTGGGGTTAACCCTCACTGTGACAGGGAAGCACTCTTGGGGATTTGGAAAGTCAGCTCGGGGGCTTTGCAGGGTAATCTGCTTTCTGGGGCCTCAGAAGATCGAGGCCACGGGGCTGGGCCCTCTCGCCCGCCCTCTCCCCTGTCCTCACCCCTCCCTGCCTCCTCCTGCCAGGAAGCGCCCGGACCCTCCGCTGACACGGTCTCCATCTCCACCTCACGCCAAAGCCAAGGGCATCTCCCCTGAACCTGGCCGCTCCCTCCTTCCCAAAGCCCGTCTTTCCCATTTCTTCTGGAACGCGGGTCTTTGCCCTGAACTTGCAATGCACCCCGAGGTCCCCACGGCAGGGCTTTCCGCTCTGCCCTCGAGGTTCCACACACACCCGCAGCTCCTGGACTGTCAGTCTCCCGCCTGCGCCTGGGCCCCACGCAGTCCCCAGTGCATCTGCACGCGGGTGACCCAGGCCCCAGGGTGGAGGGAGCCGGCAGCAGATGTGTGCAGGGATGGAGGGGCTAAGGCTGAGCCCGAGGGTCTCTGGCCTGAGGATGAGGATGAGCTGATGACAAAGAAGCAAGACAGAAGCAGAGAGAGACAGGACAGCGCTGGGCGGGGAGTGCGGAGGAGTGAGGGTGGAGGCATCACCATGACAAGTGCTCTGTGGAGTCACTGGGAAAGCAAACCCCTGCGACACTGTACCCTGCACGGGAGCTGTCCCTGTTACCCTGAACTCACAGATGCGCTGATGCACTCAGAGAGGTTAGGTCATTTGCTCTTAAGTGGCGGCGGCAGCTGGGGTGGAGGTGGGGACTTCACATGTGTCTCAGCCCCAACTCCGCTTTGCACCAGGACACTGTCCGGGCAGCAGCAGCGTCTGCTGGCGTCAGCGGGCAGGGGCAGCAGTGTGGCCGGGCCGTGCAGAAGGCGGGTGGGGGAGGGGAATGGGAAGAATGGGCTTGGCTTCGAGGAAGGAGACAGGGCTGAGGGGGTTTTCTTTTCCTCTGAGGTGACCCTGGTCGCAGAGGAAGGGGCTGAGTGGGGAAGGGCTTTGCCTCTCCTGCCCCAATGCCCAGTCATTTCCCATCCTTCAAGGCCTGTCTGGGGCTCACCTCCTCCAGGCTGTCCGCCCTGACTCCCCAGCCCACCTGCTCTCTCCTTCTAGAGAGACCTTGTCCAGGCCAGATCTTGCCCTCATGGGGAACCTCACTCCAAGTCAGCTCTCACTACTCGGTCCGGACAGAAGATTGCAGGGAACAGGTTTAGTCAGAGTTTCAGGGTAGCTGGGCATGAGGATCACAGGAAATCTGCTTTTTACCTTGCCTATGTTTCCCTATATTCTGTAGTGGGCCTGTATTACTTAGAATGGCAAAACAAAACAAAAAGAAACCCAGAAACAAAAACACAGTCCCATCTAAGTAAAAGACACCTTCAGCGTCTGACCTGCCTGTTCTTACACCGTTTATTTTGACCTCGCTGTGTTGACTCCTCCTGCCATTTGGATGCCGGAGAGCTCCGCTCTCAGCCTGGGCTCGGCTCTCTGGCAGGCCAGGCGGGGCCAGAGCCGGGCTCTGTGCGGGGGAGAGGACACCGAAGCCCAGCAGGGCCTGTGGCTTGGGGGGTCTCCGATCTGTGATCACCAGCTGCTGCTGGGGCAGACGCCAAAGGATTACTCAGCCCAAAGCCCCGAATTTGCTGACTAAGCTGCCAGAGGCCACCTTATCACTAATACAATTATTCCCCCAGGGGACAGGTCAGCCCCCCCACTGCGAGGCCTGGGGCGAATGGGGGTGGAGCGATGAGGGGTGCCTGCCATGAAGGCTGTAGACAACCTCCCTCTGGACCTGCAGGGCCATGGCAGGTCAAGTGCCTTCCCCACACTGTGCCACTAGGGGCCCGGCCTGGGGCCTGACCCAGGCGCTGGCAGAGGGAGGGAGGGGTGGCTCCCGCAGCCAGGCGGGCTGTGCTAACGCCAGGGTTCCCCTCCCAGCAGCTGCAGACTGCTTGACTGGGGCACGGTTTGTTCACAAGTTGGGGTCCTGGGAAAAGGTCTTCTGGCAGGATGTCTTTAAAAATGCTCCTCCCCCACCACATGACTTTACCATCCTTGAAGCTCTTAGTGAGTGGTAGACGCACAGTCTTTGGAGCTGGGGACCCAGCAAGTCCGCTCCAGGAAACTATCCCAGGAAAATGTAATCAATAGGGATGTTCTCTGCAGTAGTTTTAGTAAAACATCTATCTGCAGACAACTGGCTAAATTAGGTTCCATCCGTACAGTGGAATGCCGGCAGCCACCGCAAACGGTGGTGTTCCCGCCTTCGTTTACACGGAATATGCCCAGTATGTTTCAATTTCAAAGCCACCTACAAAACAGCCTGTATAGTTTGATTTCATGTGTCCCACGGGGAATTTCTAGCCAAAGATCATGGGACGTCTTTCTCTTTCGCAGGACCTAAATGAATCAGTGGTTTGTTTCTCTAGAGCAGGGAGTGGAAGGTTCAGGAGTCCTAGAGGCAGACATCAGTAGGGACGTTTCTCAACAAAGCCTCTTTCTTTTCTTTTCAAGATAACATTGAGAAATAATCAGATATTCCGCTGCACAGTTTTCCCAGCGCTTGGCTAGTAAAGTCTGTCCTCTTGAACCATTTTAAAGGCCTGGGCAGAACTGGAGGGGACACTGCCCTGTCCTAGGACAGGGAGACAAAAGGCAGCCTGTTCTGGGCACACCTGATCTGCTACACCTCGGGGTGACCCCCTTCCTGCTTTGTCCCCAAGATGAGTGGCAGAGACCCGAGCACTGAGCTCTGCAGCGCTGAGCAGTGCTGTCATAAATATGCCACTGCAGAAATTCTCGCTGCAAGCAGAAATTCCTGTTGCCTTTGAAGGCTTAAAACCAAACATGTATTACAATAAAATAAAGCTCTTTTCGTTTTTAAAAAAGAATGGCTAATTTGAAGTCGGTATTACCTATAATAATAACACTAAATACTCAGGAAGAAATCACGTGTTTATGACGCGAGTCTGAAGCGTCTCATGCTCCGTGCTCCTCTGGTCCCGGGGCAGGCCCTGCTGGCCGGCAGCTGCTCGGGCTGCGCCTGGCTGATCAGAGCAGCTGCAGCCGCAAGGGGTGCGCGGCTATTTGAAAACCAGTACAGAAGTATTTTAAAAGTTTAACAACAGGTACAACCATACCAGTGTGTAATAGCTGACTGACCCTTCTCGTCATAATATTTTTTATCTCCTAGAAATGAAACTACTGGACGCAGAGCTTTTCAATCTCAGCACGATTGACATCTGGGGCCAGTCAATTCTTGATTACGGGGGCTGTCTTGTGCATTTGCAGGATGTCTAGCAGCTTCCCTGGCCTCTGGCCGCTAGATGCCAGCTGTGACAACCCAATGTCTTCAGACATTGCCAAATGCGCCCTGGGGGGCAAAATCACGCTTGGCCTATGCTATGTTACACCCCGCTTCCTGTGAGGCAGGTCACTGAGTCTGTCTTCAGAGATGCAAGGAGCATTTCCCACGACACATGTCTGCCAGGAGCCTCAAAGGAGCCCCAGGTCCATCAGGCAGGTAATGTTGTCTGCAGTGTCATGTGTATGCAGATTCAGGAATTATCTGGAAGGATGCTTAGGGTCAACACAGGTTTTCTCTGAAGGAGAATTTTACTATTTTATTTTTTTCTTTATAGTTTTCTGTATTGCTTGAATGTTTAATATCGACCATGTATTATAATTATAATCAAGTTAAAATAAGGCTTTTCAAGTGTTTTTAAAAGAGACTGGTTAATCTGAAATAAATAAAAGCTATAAAATAATAGGGAATATTTATTAAGACATTGTTGTGTGCCAGAGACAGTTCTAAGTGTTTACAGGTATAAACTCACTTAATCCTCAAGACACTATCAGATAGATATTATCATTATTATCCTTGTCTCACAGATAAGACTGACATTACAGAGAGGTTTAGTGACTTGGCCAGTGTCACACAGCTAGTAAGTGACAGAGCTGTGACTCAAACCCAGGCAGATGTTATGATCTGCCCAAGGGTAAGGGATAAAACTATGGGAATATCCTTAAAAAACCAAAACCTTCACACATTTAATAAAGAAAATCTTCTCCAGACACATCTTATCTCTAGGTGGGTAGAAAGGAGAACGCAGGTATCCTGGGCTGTGGAAAGTCACTTTTGAACTGGCATTTCTGTTTCCATCTTTGCTACAAAATGCAGAATCTTTAACTAAAACTATAATATAATGATAATAAAATCTACAGAGATGAGCTAAAGGATCTCTCTGTAGGAAACTTTTTCTTTTTCTTTTTCTTTTTTTTTCTTTGAGACAGAGTCTCACTTTGTTGTCCAGGCTAGAGTGAGTGCCATGGCGTCAGCCTAGCTCACAGCAACCTCAAACTCCTGGGCTAAAGCAATCCTCCTGCCTCAGCCTCCCAAGTAGCTGGGACTACAGGCATGTGCCACCATGCCTGACTAATTTTTTTTTCTATATATATTAGTTGGCCAATTAATTTCTTTCTATTTATAGTAGAGACGGGGTCTCGCTCTTGCTCAGGCTGGTTTTGAACTCCTGACCTCGAGCAATCTGCCCACCTCGGCCTCCCAGAGTGCTAGGATTACAGGCGTGAGCCACCGTTCCTGGCCAGTAGGAAACTTTCTTGTTGTTTGCTTTGTTTTTCCCCCAAAAGCTGCCTTTGAGAAAATGTTTGCTTTTTTTTTTTTTAAGAGATGGGGTCTTGCTATGTTGCCCAGGCTGGAGTTCAGTGGCCTGATCATAGTTCACTGCAGCCTTGAACTCCTGGGCTGAACCCACAGTGTGAGATTCTGTCTCAAAACAAAAAAGCAAACAACACCCCAAACAAACAAACAAACCAAACACAATTAGAATATTTAAAGAATTGTTATTAATTTAGTTATAATAATGGAATTGTGATTCTGTTTAATGAAAAATAATCGTTATCAGCTAGGGACATACTCTGGAGTATGTACAAGAGAAATGATTGAATTTCTTGGATTTGCTTTTGAAGCTTGCAACAAAAGTTTCTTTTTTTAAAATAAATGAATGAAAGAAGAGGGCAGATGAACTGAGAACAATTCAGGCTGATAGTTGTTGATGTGGGTGATGGGTGCACGGATTTCATTGACCTATTATCTCTAATTTTCTCTAAATTACCTCTAATTTTATTTGTGATTGACATTTTACATAATAAAGAGTGTAAAATACACACAAGCGGACCACATGAAAAATGAAACAAGAAATGTGGTTGATGACTGGACACACTCTGCAGTCCAAATGTTTTCTTCTTTTCTCCTCCACTTGCGCCCCTCACCCTGATCTGTCCTCGCTGACCGTTGCATGAGCTGGGTCACCTGGGGCGAAGCTGGCCTGGCGCGGCCGGGCACAGCGCCCCCTCCCGGGCGCCGGCGGGGCAGCGAGAGACCCGGGCACAGCGCCCCCTCCCGGACGCCGGCGGGGCAGCGAGCGGCGCGGAGCTCCCGGCGCTCTCTCCGCGCGTCCGCACCTGAGGTGGGCGCGGAACGTCCTCGGCCGCCGTCACCACCCGGCTCCTCACCGTGCGGCGGGCTCAGAGGTCGCTCCTGAGACCGACGCCGTATCTTCGCTCTCCACACCGCGATCACCTCAGAAACCATTTTATTCCTTCACTTGTGCCGTCGTGCCTCAGCCCTGAGAGACCAGGAGTCTCGTCCATCTTGTTGAAGGCCCTGACGCGCAGGCGCCGCAACTGTCAGTGGCGCGGCCGTCAGGCTCCGGGCGCAGCCTGGGCCCAGCGCGGCGGCGGTGGCTTCGCGCCTGCGCCCTGCGGCCCGGCCCGCGCGCCCAGGCGCTCTACCGTAGCGGGTTAAACGGTGCCTTGCGGTCGGAACGCGCCAGTTCAGAGCTTCTCCGGGAAGCGAAGAGCTGCTGACACCCGGTAGACAGAGAATGCGTTCCAGTGAGAAGGGGCTCTTCGGGCCGAGCCCGCCCCGGCCCGCAGCGCCCGCTCGGGCGGACCCGCGTCCCGGCCCCGGCTCCCGCGCGCGCCCGCCCGCGCCCCAGAGGCAGCGCTGGTGCGGGACGGAGGTGTTGACGGTGTGCGGAGAGAAGGGGCTGGCGAGCGTGGGTCCACTGATCTAGGTGACCGCTCAGGTCCTCGCCCGGATCTGATATATGGTACCGATATTCATAAAATCATTCATACTAGTAGTTTGATCCGCTCGCAGTACCCAGAGAGGCCACAAGGAGGCGGTGTTACTCCAAGGAAAGTTTTGCCTATTGCGTGGACTGTTTCATTCCCCAAATCCTAACGCAAGAGATTTGGGAATTTTTTCTTTGAAATAACAGGAAAGAAAACACTTTGCTAGTACTCACTCGCAACTCCAGGCAGCGCATTTGAGCTGTTACTCTTGAATCCTGGCAAAGTTACCTGTAGCGCTCAGTGCACAGCTTTGTGTTTTTCTACCAAACTGCCGAACAGGAGCCGTGCGGTAGTCAGGAGCCCACTGTCTAAGCTGTGGCGAGATCCCCGCCCCACAAGAGCATCTCTTGTTCTGTTCTGATAACTGCTTCCTGGGTGCTAGAGCACCTCGCATGCCATACACATCCAGAAAATAGATGCTGAACGGAGTGGATGCCGGGTTTGTTGGATTGAATCGTGTGCCTTGGCATTACTCCCACGTCCCCACAGGACTGTTGGGATGCTTGGTCACAGTGGCTGCAGACAGTTTGGGGTTAGAATTTGGTTTTTCTGTATTCTAGAGGTCATTGCCTCATGGACCAGATGATTAGGATTTGGGGAGCAATGAGCAGGAAGGATGTTCACTGAACCAAGCCTGGGAGCAATTGTTAGGTTACGCCTGGCAAACCTGCCTCTTAGGAGGGTCTGTCCACACAAGGATGAGATTCTGTGGTGCGGCTTGGTCAGGACTCTTTGTCATGTTACACTTTATTGGTAAGAAAAGAAAGTCTGAAAGCAACGGGAGTCGGCAAACACAGCTAGGTCGGAAAGGACGCGTGTCACTCAGCACATGCTAAGAACAGGGGTAGAACACAGTGGCGGAGCCTGGGGTGTTGATGTCTGGTGGCCCTGAGAAGCAGGGGCTGCAAAGGTGCTTGGCGGAGGTGGAACAGAAGGTGAGGCCTGGAGCACTGGGAAGAGGGTCTGAGTGGTGACCAAGAGCAGGTACCCTGAGCCTGAGGGCCAGACCTGCCTGCTGTTCCCCCACGGCGTGGTCACCACCAGTATAAATGAACTGAACATTCCTGAATCTGGGCTGCACTAACCTGTCAGGGACTGCTCATGCAGGAGCCCTGGTGACCAGTATGCATGGGCCTGGCGGGTCATGGCTGGCTGCTCACTACCGTGGTTACTTCCCTGGCCCTTGCTGCAGACAAGGAAGGTGCAGACCCTCCTGAGTGGGTGTCTGGAGGTCAAGCAATGTTGCTCACACTTGAGTAAAATTCAGATAACTTTTTTTTTTTTTTCCGAGACAGGGTCTCATTCTGTCACCCTGGCTAGAGTGCAGGGGTGTCATCATAGCTCACTCACTGCAACCTTAAACTCCTGGGCTTGAGTAATCCACCTGCCTCAGTCTCCCGAGTAGCTGGGACTACAGGTGCCCAATACCACACCCAGCTAATTTTTCTATATTTTGCAGAGATGGGGTCTCGCTCTTAGGCAGGCTGATCTTGAACTCCTGACCTTAAGCAATCCTCCCATCTTGGCCTCCCAAAGTGCTAGGATTACAGGTGTGAACTGTCGCACCCGGCCCATATAAGCTTTAAAGGAAAATAATTATTTAACTGCTCTCCAATGTTGAATTAAATAATTTAATGTTAATGATAATATTACAAATATAAAACTAAGAAAGATTATAACTCTTATATAACTACATAATCAAAACAAAATTGCTAATAAAATAATAGCACAACTTCAAAACAAACAGAATGAAAGCTGACAACATTGAAAAGATAGATCATGTTTTGCTGGAACTCAATTGCTCCTCACGACATGAATATACGAACTAAGTGTATGGTGCAAGTTCCTTTGCATTTGGTAGGTAATGACAGTGAACTCACCACTCTGCCCATGCCACTGCATTCTTTTCATATTAGGTCAGCTCTGGACAATTAAAAAAATGCTATCTGATTCTGGTGCTGGAATTAATGGTGGTGCTGGGCTATCAGGTAGTCAACTAGATGGCGGAGTTCATACCTATTATGAAAAGATTATTATTAAAGTAAAAACAAAAAAATTCTCATTGAAAACTTGAGGCTCTTGAAAAACACTGTTTTATTATATTAAATCCTCTCTCCAGGATGAATCCCCTGGCATGGAATTATTAAGTGAAAGGATGTGAAGAGCTTCACAACTCTTGCTACATTGTGGTAAGTGGACGTCCATAAATCCATTTTCATTGCAATGGTAGTTCTCAGCTGGCCTCCAGCTCTAACCAATGCTCTAACCCAGGAAACGGGATTGGGGCACAAAGCAGGTGCATGAACCCACAGCTGGGTTCAGGCTTCTGGCCTCAGTAAAATCCTTTTGCCCCTAATCTCAGAGTGAACCCCAGGTTTCTCCCTGGCTCCAGCACACTCTGTGTACACTCTGGTCCCTGCCCCTCATGCAGATGTCGAGCTGGCTGACTTGTCCCCTTGCCCCTAACCGTCATATTTAAAATTGCAACTCCTACCTCGTCTCCACCACTCCATATCCATCTTCTCTGCTTTGCTTTTCTTTGTCACACATTGTCACACCTGACAAACCATGTCTGTTTCACTCATTTGTGTCTTAATTTTGTCCCCCTCATTAGAATGCAGGCTCCCTGAAGTCCTATGCCATCTGGTTTACTGCTATATATGCAGTGCCCAGCCCAGTGCCAGCACAGACTAGGTGCTCAGTACATACTTGCTGAATGAATGAATGAGTGAGTGAGTAAATGATTGTCACAACTTGGGAGGCATCAAGGCAGTTGGTAGAAAGTGAATCCCAAGGGAGATTGCCTGGGTTCTTGGGCAGATGGAACTCAGGGGTCAGGAGCAGGCTGAGGGGTGTTAGTTCTCTTCCCTTGAAGCTGGCAGGCCTGTGATTGGCTTGGGCCAGGACAGTGGCAGAAGGGGCAGAAGTTTGCACGTGTAAGCCCAGGCCTCAGGAGATCTGGCAGCTCTCACTCCCCTCCTCGGCCTGCTCTTCTCCAGCCAGCTGCCACGTGGAGAGAAGCCGAAGCTTAGGCCACATGGAGAGCGAGCAGCAAGGAACACGCCCACAGTGAGACCCGGGGCTGTACGCACAGGGCCCTGGGGACGCCGTTCCAGCCGTCTCAGCCGGGGCATCGCGCCTGTGATGAGCAAGCCATCTTGGACGGCCCAGCCCTGCCGGGCAGCATGTGGAGAAGACACGAGCTGTCTCCAGTGCTCCCTGACCGAGCTCCTGACCTGAGAATCATGGGAAATAACAAAATAGTTGTTGTTTGAGCCGTTATGTTTTGGGGGTATTCTGTGAGGCAGCAATCGGTAACACGAACAGGCGTTCCCCACGCGTGTCCCGTGGTGTGAGGGTCCCTGGCCCTGAGCCCATGAGCCACAGGCGGAGAGGAGGGCAGGAGCCCGGCTGTGGCGCCGCCGGGGCTTGGGTGGAGGGGGCCGGCGCTCTGCTGTGGGGGAGAGCTCCGAGGCTGGCGCTGGCTTCAAGTTCAAGCTGATTTGATTGTTTGGGTCCCTCTGCTTTCACCCCTCCCTCCCTGACCAGCATCTAAAAAGGATTGACCCTGGGCTTAAAAGAATAGATTTTTGGAATCCGCATGTCAAAGCAGGACATGGCAGTAGAGGTGGCTCCTCGAGGCATCTTCCTGGAGGCAACAGCGTGTGTGTCGCAGCAGAGTGCTGCCCTGCGCCCTCCGCCCCACGTACCTGGAGCGGGGGAGCCTCGGTGTGGCCACAGCAGTCGCAGCACCGTCTGCTGTGATGGACGCCACGCAGGAGGAAGGAAGGAGGAAGTTTTGGCTTATTTGGTTCCAAAGGGAGTTTAAACGTGGGTTTGTGTGATTCTTTGGGAGAGGCAGAGGAACAAGCACAAGCTTGGGAACTAGACAGACGGGCTCCGACTCCTCAGCCACTTACAACCTGTGTGATTACAAGTCAGTTTCCTGATCTGGCTGGGACTGGGCTTTCCCAGCCGTAAAGTGGGGAGCACAGTAGCCACCTGTCCAGGTGGTTATGAGAACTATAGGCAAGGTAGGTGATGTTGCACGGAGTGGGCGATGTAAGTGCAAGTTCCCAACCGTCTGGTCAGAAATAAAATTTGTGTATCGTCACCCACCCCAGCTATCAGAAAATGGAGCGCTGAACACGATGTCCGTTTACAGGCTGTTCATTTCAGAAGCCTGCTGGGTGTACTCCATCTGACCCAATGGGGGGGCGTCTCCATATCTATAAATGTTTTGGGTTGCACAGTATTTTGTAACATCCATGAAACTTATGTATTTCCAGTGCCCAAACACTGCTTGGCACATAGTATGTGTTCAGTGAATATTTGTTGACTAAAGAGAGGATGTACGACTTAAACCGTTTTAAGGGGTGGTTCCCCCGTGAGCCAGAGATGAGCAGACACTGGTGTTTGAACTCCCGTTGCTCCTGTGTAGAGGCTTGTGCTTGCTAAGGGTGCAGAACCTGGACAGCCTTGCTTGTCTCACTCACATCCTTCCTGTCTCCCTTCTTTGCTAACAGAACCCCAACTGTGCCCTGCACAGCCGTGTGTCCGGCACCTAGTCACAGATCCGGATTGGCCAAAGCTAACCAGGACAGTCCTTTCTGTTTTCCAGCTTCCTTTGCAGCTATGAATGGCCAAAGTGGGTTCTGTGGAAGTATACTGGACACAGGAAGGGGCCTTGGGGGTGTATTTGCTTTCTTGGTAAATGGAGAAAAATGCAGCTGTAAATGGCCTTCCCACTTTCTTCCCTGAAGATGGATGTGATAGCTGGAGCAGGAGAAGCTGTCGTGCCACCAAGAGGAAGAGCCACGAGAACCGCAGAGAAAGTGGTCCTGAAACCATTGAGCTGCTGACCCCATGCCCATAGCTGTCTTCCTCCATCTTGCTGCAAAACTAAAACAAATTCCTGAGTCAGTGGAGTCAGGTTTTCTTTCATGTGGGCCAAATGAATACCTAAATGGTACACAGACTATCTGGTTAAAAAAATTAAATCACACGAGCACAAAGGCTTAAAACCACTTCAGAATCGGTATGTTTCATTGATGAATGGGGTGAAGTGGTAGATTAAGACCTAGAATCTATTTTTTTTTTCTGGCACAGAGTCTCACTCTGTCCCCCTGGCTAGAGTGCAGTGGTGTCATCACAGCTCACTACAGCCTCAAACTCCTGGGCTCAAGTGATCCTCCTGCTTCAGCCACCTGAGTAGTTGGGACTACAGGTGTGCACCACCACACCTGGCTAATTTTCTTCTATTTTTGGTAGAGATGGGTTCTGACTTTTGCTCAGGCTGGTCTCAAACTCCTGACCTCAAGTGATACTCCCATCTTGGCCTCCCAGAGTGTTAGGATTACAGGCGTGAGCCACCTCACCTGGCCAAGAACTAGAATCTAGACTTTATATTAGTAGAATACTGCTTTATAAAGACACTTAGAGGTCATTTGCTCATCTTCACGGTAAATACGGAAAACCTGCAATATTCTTAAAGGATCAAATGCCTCACTTTTCAAAGTGTGGTCCTGTTACCAGCAGCATCAGCATCACCTAAGAGCTTTTTAGAAATCGGGCCACACCCCAGACCTTCTGAGTCAGAGTCTGAAGTTTAACAAGATCCCCAGGTGAGTTATGTGCACATTGTAAACTCAGACGCTCTTCTCAGTGGTTCAGCCTAGGCTAGAATTCCCTTGGAGAGGTTTTAAAATAACAGCGTCTGGTTCCCACCCTCAACCAACTGAAGATCGAAATATTTGAGAACAGGGACCCAACATGCCCTCTTTTTTTTTTTTAAAGTTCCAGTTAATTTCATTAGACAATGAGGGATAAAGGAACTTAAGCCAGACTCTGTCACTTTAATAGCTGTGTCCTTGGTCATGTTACTTGTTCTCTCTGAGCCTCAATTTATTTGTCCATCAAATGGCCACAAAAGAGAGCTTGCTTCCCACGAGGAGTTGTGCAGATGAAAATGGAATGATGTAGACACAGGCACAGAGCAGAGCAGCTGCTCGACAAATTAGGGTTTCCCAGCCCTGATGGGGTCAGGGCCCGGAGCAGGGAGCACATGAGGATCCCCGGGGAGCGGCGCCGCCTCTGGAGGGCGAATGAGCTCCCCAGGCCATTCTCAGTAGGCAAATTTGAAAAATGTGGCAAGAAATGTTAGTTCTCCTTCTCCCTATCCCTTTTTTGGAATTTATTCCCATCTCTCATAACTTATTTTAGAAAATTTCAAACCTCAGAGAAGTAAAAAATAGTATAATGCACACCACATACCTTATTTGTGCGTTCCCTGTCTCTCTCCCCAGACACGCGCGCACACACACACGCACGTGCCTTTACTGACAGCTGGGAACGTAAGCAGCAGATGCCACAACCTTCATCACTAAATGCTGCAGCACCTGCCCCTGCTCAACCACACGCCGTCCGCCACCAGCACATCTAAGGAGTGCTCCATGGCTTCGATCATGTCACCTTAAACACAATCCATATTCAATTTTCCCTCTTCCCAGATGCTCCTGATCACTTTTTTGAGGGTCTCACTGTGTCTTTTCCCACGGTTACTGGGCACATGTCAGTTTGAACCGTCTGACTCCCTGTCCCTTCCCTCCCCTGATCTGCTGGGGTTTCCAAGTTCTTGTCATTTGTTCCTGACAGTCCTTGAAATGTCTGGTTGAAGACAGTCCCCCTCCAGATCTGTCCCCATCCTGGTCACCATCCCAGTTGCCCTTCTACCAGTGGTTCTTTCTTGGTGTCATCGAACCTGCACGATGGGTGGTTCCTGGCACAGACTCTGGGGGTCTGACGCCGGCAGAGTGGGCTCGTTGCCTCCCTCTGGTGGTGGCCACACACCTTCGCATGCAGCCTGAGATCCTGTCAGGCACACTGAGCTCCTTAACTAAGCAGCACTGGACTTTTTCTCCAGTCCTCGTACAGTTGGTGCCTGTTGGTTGGAATTGATGGAGAAAGACATTGGAACGAATACAGGCTGAGACCATGTAACATGCGAGGCCCCAGGGAGGTGGAGATGGGCAAGACACAAGCCTTGGCCCCCAGGGGAAGCTGACTGGATTCTAGTGCCACCAATATTGCTGGGGCATGAAATCTATCAGTCTTTTTTTTTTTTTTTTTTTATTTCAGCATATTATGGGGGTACAAATTTTAAGGTTTCAAAAAATGCCCTTTCCCCCCTTTCCCCACAAGTCTGAGTTTCCAGAGTGACCATCCCCCAGATGGTGCACATCTCACTCATTATGTATGTATACACCCCTTCCCCTCTCCCTCCCCCCTGCCCAATACCCTATTACTGTAGTACTTATGTGTCCACTTAGGTGCTGCTCAGTTAATACCAGTTTGCTGGTGAGTAAATGTGGTGCTTGTCTTTCCATTCTTGGGATACTTCACTTAGTAGAATGGGTTCCAGCTCTAACCAGGAAAATATGAGATGTGCTATATCACCATTGTTTCTTAGAGCTGAATAGTACTCCATGGTATACATATACCACATTTTATTAATCCATTCTTGGATTGGAGGGATTGGGGGCCCCCAACTTTTTGGGGCCCCCCCCCTGGGGGTTTTTTTTTTTTTTCCATTAGCCCCTTTTTTTTTGCCAATTTTTTAAATTTGAAATTTTGGGTGGCCCCCCTTGCCGCTTTTTTTATTAAACATTCGAGTGCAGGATTGTTCTTTTTTTTTTTTTTTTGGTAAAGACCTGGTCCATTGGGAAAAAATTTTTTCTTTTTTTTTTGGGGTAAGATGGCCACAAATAAAATGGCAAAAAATTTTGCCCCCTGGGATTCCCAATATGGGGGTAGATCCCCGTTTAAATCCGGCTTTTTTAAAAGGTATATCCCTCCCCATATTTGCCCCCCTTTCCCCCACCTTTTTTTGCCAGTCCCCCCAACCAGCAAAGTTGGTAGGGAAAAGTTGGGTTTTTTCCCTCTTTTTCCTTTCCTTTTCCGCAAAATCCCAAACCCGGCCAAAAGGCAATTTTTTTTTTTTTTTTATTTTTAATTTTCTGGGAAACCTTTTTTTTTTTGATTAAAGGCCCACATTCTCCCACTGGGGAAAGGTTTTTTAAAGTTGGATAATTCCTCCCCCAATTGTGGGGTTTTGATTTTTTTGCCATTTTCCGCTGGAATGGATTAGAAGAACTTGTTTTGGAAAGCAAATTTTTTTTTTTTTTTGCCCATATGTTTTGGGTTTTTTGGGCCCAATTTCCTTCTGGTCTTTTCCCTTTTTAAGAAAAGTTTTTTTTTTTTCTGTTCAAGGTTCCTTTTTTGGCACACCTTTTTTTTTAAATAGGGTTTTTAAATATGATAAATTTTTTTTCCTTTTTTTTGTTTGAATTTTTTTTTCCCATTGGAGTTTTTTTTTTTTTTTTTCTAAAGTAATATTCTAGTTTTTTTTTTTTTAATCCAAGCCCTTTATTTAGATACGGTAGGAAATTTTGCAAAAAATTTTTTTTTTTTTTTTCCTTTTTTTTTGGGGTCCAACCTTTCTTTTAAAATTTTTATTTTTTCCTTTTTGGTTGCCATTCAAAAAAAAAAAAAAGGTTTTTAAACCCACCCCTTCCCCCCCCTTTTTTAAAAACTTCTTCCTTTTTTTGTCCCCCAAAAACAAAAATTTCCTTTTTTAAAAATTGCCTTTTTTT